AATTTGAGCAATTCGACTTCAATTTTTCAGTTGCGGCCATTTTAAGAAAACATCAAAATTCTGAACAATACACTGTACTATAGCCCATGTTTTTTTCCAAAAAATGGCTCCAAAATCACATCAAATTTTTATTAAATTTTCTGATACATATTGATGTCCTTATGCTATGCAGCAAGTTTGAGCTGATTCTGACATTAATTTTTCAAGTTACGGCCATTTTAAGAAAATGCCAAAATTCTGAACAATACCCTGTACTATAGCCCATGGTTTTTTCCAAAAAATGGCTCCAAAATCACTCCAAATTTTTATTACATTTTCTGATACACATCGATACCCTAATGCTGTGTAGCAAGTTTGAGCTGATTCCGACTTCATTTTTTTCAAGTTAAGGCCATTTTAAGAAAATTTCAAAATTTTAAAAAATACCCAAGGCTTTAATAAATGGTTTTTTCCAAAAATTGACTCCAAATCACTCTTAATTTTATTACATTTTTTGATACACATTGATGCCCTTATGCTGTGCAGCAAGTTTGAGCTGATTCCGACTTTAATTTTTTAAGTTACGGCCATTTTAAGAAAATGCCAAAATCCTGAAAATACCCAAGACTATAGCCCATGTTTTTTTTCAAAAATTGACTCCCACATTACCCCCAAATTTTTATTACATTTGCTGATATACATGTATATTGATGTCCTTATGCATGTAGAAAGTTTTGAGCTAATTCCAACATAAATTTTTCAAGTTATGACTATTTTTAAGAAAATGCTGAAATTCAAATGGGTATGAAATCACTCCCCATTTTTATTATTTTATTCCATCAGTTGTACTGATGTCCTTATGTACACACAATAATGATAATAATGATAAACTGACAGTTCTAATTAATGCACGTTTATCTAAAAACCCATTATTATCATTATTAATTAATTAATATTCATTACCTTTTGGTCTGTTTGATTGGGTTGGTTGACCAGCTGGTGATTGCTTTCCACGACTTGTCAATTTTTGAAAGTCAGCCAACGTCTTTGGAGCTCTGCCCCCTCCGGTTCTATTAGTGGGTGTGGCTAATGACTTTGATTTTGTATCAGTGGGAGGGACAGAAGTGACGTCTGATTGTGTACGAGACTATAATAAAATAAATAATAAATTAATTAAGAAAATGAGATAATGGAGTCTACCTTTAATTGTGTGTGTACCAATTTTAACATTTAATGTGTATTGGAGGTGTGTCCCTACTAATTAAAACATTATTAATTAATAATAATAATTAAAGGCGTTATTATTTTAATTTTATTTTTTAAAGATCCTTCATTAAATCCACTACCATTAGTACACAATATTAAAAGTGATTTAATGTACTAATATCTCAATGAAGGTCACTACTTCCATCATTAACTTACTGTTCCTCATCTTCAATACTTGAATGTACTTCATTTTATGTACACCATGTATTACTAGAAATTACTATTAGGAATGAAGGAGAGAGAGCATTAAATATTACCCAAATATTAAACTTTGTATACTTTTATTTATTCTCACTTTTCTTTATGTATTCAAAAGGTTACTGAAGACATTTTGA